AACTGCTGCTGAAGCATAATTCCATCAGTAAAACTGATCTAATAACACTGTAGCACAGCTTTGTATTTACAGTATATTGTCCTGATAATACTTCCTAAAACACAAACGAAGTGAAGGTGACATAAAATGATCTTTATGTATGCAGATATTCGCTATGTAAATCCAATTTACTGTTGATATCAAAATCTTTAACAGAAACATAAAACATAATTAATTCTTAATCAATTACTTAATTAGCAGCTTTATTTGTGTTTTTTTTTTCCAGCTACATTTAGGGGTTTTATTGACCAGACCAGTCAGGTCCCTTTGGGGTTCTATAAAGAATTACTCAGTTGTTCCTGGTTCCACTCCAGCAGTTTTATTTTATTTTTATATTTATTACAGTGTTCAAACGAAAATCTTCCTCCACATTCTCACTCTCATTTGGAAACTGAAACAAAACTCAAGACATTTACTGACTGAAATCTATAATGTGCTAACTCTAGAGCTATGTTCTATATTCAATCAATATTCAATATCATTAACAGTGTAAACTCTAGGCTATGTTCTTATTAATCATAATCTATAATCATTAACAGTGTATAAACTCTAGAGCTATGTTCTATATTCAATCAATAATCTATAATCATTAAACCGTGTATATATAAAACTAAAATGTATTTAAATTATGGTTATTATAGAAATGACCTGTAAAAGAGTGAATTTTTTTTTTCTTTCTATAGTTACTAATAATCATTTAATAATTTCTTTATTGATTTGTTGTTTATAACGTGTGATCCGTTCGTAATAAAGAGAAACATGAAGTAAAGTGTGTTGGACTCTCAGGCGTTTGTTGTGCAGCAGCACCACCTGTTGTTCAAACCAACAAACTACCAGCTGAACTACCTCACTGCTGAGTGCGAGTCAGTCTGATGGATAAATATAAAACAGCCTGTGACAGTCAAACCTTTATGCTTCTAACCATATTCAGTATATTTAAAAAAAAATAAAGAATTGTTGATATAAAAACAATTTTAAAAATCACATAATGATCATCTGTGTGGGACGCCAACTCAACAGACTTTAACTACACTTCAATTTACACAACCACAGAGACACAAAACGCCACACAGCCATAACATTACCCTAACATGGTGCAAATAAATTATGATATATATGAGATATATTATATTATACATATTATAATATATATAATATAATATTAACAATATTATATTAATATATATTTTAAAGTTGACTAATATTTCCATAATATTATATGAACTTTTGTTAAAAGTTTTGTTAAATAAAGAAAGTTGTTTCACTTTGTCACTGATGATGTGTTTGTGGGGCGAGGTCCAAACTTTTAAAGTTATTCAGCCAAGGACGAAATTTTGATTTCA